CCTCTTCAATACCTGGTTGCACCTGGGGGGGGGCCGCGGGAGGAGGCCCCGCCTCCTGGACAAACTCCTTCCCGGTCTTCCTCGTACGAGTTATCGGTCTCGGCACGAATCCTTCATCTGGTATTTCACCGCCACCACGCTCCTCTGGTTGTTTCTCATCTGGAACTCCCGCTTTTGGTTTACGCCGCGGCATCGGCACGGGCGCTTGTGCGATAGGCATTTGTGGCAGGGGTACTTCTTCTGCAGGTTCCTCTGGCTGCGAAACTACTAGTTCCGGTGAAGGTTCTTCTTCCTGCACAGGCTTTCCTTCTTCTTCTGCTTCTTCTGCTTCTTTTCCTTCCTCCCCTTCAAGTTGGGGTTCCTCTTGGGGAGGCTTAACTTCTTCTTCCGCCTTCTTTTTGCGCTCTCGCTCCCTGAGAAGTACAACTGCCCTTATTAAGATTAAGAAAAGCACAGTGAAAGCAATTACGTGGCATCGAGTCTCTGTAAGATGTAAACTCGCCAGCTGGGGATTCGTTACTTCCTGCTGGGCAGCCAGTTCTGCATGCAACCTAGCCATCGTATCGTCCGGTACTCCTCTGGTGGTTTCCAATTCTGCATCCTCCTCGGCGGCCCTTTTACCTGATGCCTGTGATGAGTAAACATTCTGCTGCTCCAGAATCCAGAACGCCACAAACATCCACAAACACCAGAAACACCTGCGCAAGCCAGGCAGCTTGAATAGCTGCTTCTTGCTTTTCATTGTTAGAATGACGCCAGTCACCCGGAGGAGCACCCAACGCAGCGTAGATGCCAAGAGACCCCTCCTAGGATGGTCGCTTAGGGGGAGGTCGATTTGCTGAGGCCCCCCAACACATTTCGATGGTAACTGTTTGGCTCGATTGCAGATCATGCAAAGATAATGCTACTCTTCAAGCGAATGACTCCACAGAAAAGCGCAGAGAATGATTAGGAAGGAACGGGGCAGCGGAAGAGGTAACCTGCAAGCTTGCGATGTAGCTTGTGTGGGCCTCACGAAATTCTTTCTCACAGGCTAATGACAGAAAAACCAACTTCTGATGGGTATTACAAACAAGAAGTAATTTGACAGAACTTGTTCTTCGACTCGAAACTCATGTCGAGTGCTCCATCTCACGGGCTTGCCGTTCACGGCGCTAACTGTAGTGCGCGAGACCTACAAGTGAATAGATGCTTGATGCTCTAGTTATAGCATCAGTAGAATGCGATACTTAAATATTCCGTACGGTAGAACAGTCATGCCACCTCAAGCGGGGGCTATACAACGCTGGGGGAGAGCAACCGCGCGTTCTGGCACCTTGGGGACAGGAGACCGACTACGGAATCTCCCCCCAAGGGATGTCTTTAGAACGCGCGATTTGCCGCGTCCTAGACAAAAGGAGTTTTTTTCCGGATATTTTTCCTGAAACCAAGACTTTCAGTGTTATTTTGTGAATGCTCCTTTTCAACTAACGGGTGTCTCCGCTCAAGCGTCGACTGGCGACCCTACAGAGTAGTGGCTGTATGAGTATTCCTGCTGATGCCATTGGAATTCTTATTAGACGGTAACTGAATTAAAACACTTGTGTCAGTTGCGGCATATTAGTATATATTGATTGGCTTTCATAGTTTGTAGACCTCTCCGGCTAACCTGGAGGTTCCCGGCAAAGCGCGCTTTCCGGCCCTATTCAAGGACAGAAGAGAGCTGCATGAAGCCAGCGACTTGAGGTAAGAGTTTCCTCAATGCAGCTAACATACCTCACCTGCCGCCCGGCAACCTGGGCGCTCAGATCAGGGCCTGGGGTTGCGGGGGAGGAGGCAGCCTATGTAGTACTTGAGCACTACGTTAGCACGCGGTAGCGCAGGACCCTTCACTGGGCTCTGGCAGGTTGCGTGTAAACGCTTGCAAACGCTCTACACCTACACTCAGAGGTAAGGCATGCAGCAAAGGAAGCTTCGCTGAAGCTTCCCTGCGTGCACACGTGGGGCTGGCTTGTAGGAGCAGCCGCAGCGAGGTGCGCTGCAACCCCATTTCTGGCTGCCTCCTCCTCGCAACATCCAGGCCCTGAGCCCAACGCCCAGAACGCCTAAGGACAGGGGAAAGAGGTCAGCTGGTTTTGGGTAACTCTTGGTCTAAGTCTTTACCTATATTGCAGCTCGCCTCTGTCCTACATAAAGGCCAGTGAACAGGTGTTATAACTACAATGCAGTAGTTCTTTTAGCTCCGTTGGAGGGACGGGACACATTAGTGGTCAGTTAGCCAAATGTTGAGTTTCTTAATATATTTTTGTCGAAAAGGTAAGCTGTTGGAGTGGATTTCAGCTCAGCGTCCGCCAGCACCAGCACGCTATCGCTAGCGCTATAACGCTTGCTCTCTGGCCTTGAATCAAGGACAGGAACGGGCTGCAATATGGGTAAAGAGTTAACGTAAGAGTTTCCGCAAAGCAAAATACCTCCTTCCCCTGTCCTCAGGCGTCCTGCGCGTTGAGATCAGTGCCTGGGTGTTGCGGGGAGGAGGCAGCCAGAAATGGGTTTGCAGCGCACTTCGCTGCGGCTGGTAGTGCAAGCCAGCCTCACGTATGCACGCAGGGAAGCTTCAGAGAAGCTTCCTTTACTGCATAGTTTACCTCAGAATACCTTATAGAGCGTTAGCATTTGCCTACACGCAACCTAACGAGGCAAGGCAAAGTGAAGGCGCTTGCGCTAACTGCAGACAGAGCATGTTACAGTCAGGCGAGTGAAGACACCTTACCTCCGCAGTCGCGGGCTTTATTTGAGGACTGTTTCCAGGGCATCTCCGAAGTGACCTGCGGATCTGCGATCCGTAGCCCGAGAACATGGTTCTCATTGATTTTATATGAACATTGGAATTCAGTCCTCCTCAGTATGATCTCTCTTTATACGTAATGAGCGTCCCACCCGTGTATCTTGCGGTTTGTCTTCCCTTTGTTATCCTATTATCAGGAGTGCCACTACGGGTGCGCTATCTCTCTGATCAATGAGATTCCAACGCTATTCGCCAGCTCATTGCACATCTATAGGTCACATTGCCAATATCGTTGATAAATTATAGGATGCGTCTGCAGGTT